TGTTAAACATAGTATTTCATCTTCTATATTTTGTAACATCATTATCTCCACACAGAAATTTATGATACCACAATCTTTCATACTACACTCAATTTTTATGCAAAGCTTTGAGCTTATCAACATAAAACTAAGTCTATTTTCAAAAATCTTTTTAAGTAATTTTGAAAACAAAATAGTAATAAAACTCAACTTATATAGATGTATTTACAAGTTACAAACACATCTAGTTTCAATATTTGTGATCTCTTGAAGTGATCAAATCAATTTGCTGCATACTGTTTTATTCGAGACAAAGATTGTATCAATTTACAAATCATACATTTTTGCATTCCTTCACATATAACTGTATATAATAATTTTTAACTACAGATCATATATTTTTGTTTGGAATTTTTTCATTTTTTCATTTTCATTTTTTCTTTGTCTCATGAAGATTAATCTCATCTGAATTTCCATACAAAAAGATATTGAGAATCAAAAAATAATCTCAGCAAAGTAAAAAATGCACATATAAACAAATCATAACATAATAATCATTTGTAAAATATACCTCATTTTGACCCCAAAAAAATTCAAATTCAAATGACTTGGACATAATATGAGCTGTTGTATAGTCTGTGTATCTCATCGTAATATGTTTTCAATTTTATTCATTCAAAAATTTAAAATATTCATACAAGATATTTTTAAAAAAATCTAATAATGAGGTGTTCACATTGAACTTTATATCTAATGATAACAACATAAGTAATATAAAATATAATCAAATTACAGACGTTTGATAATGGAAAATGTTAGATTATTTTATAATAACATATTATAGAAATAATTAACTTTTTCAACATACATATAATTTTATTATAAATAATTAGAGATTAAATTTTATATAAGCTCATTTTTTTCTATAAGATATATATATATATATATATATATATATATATCATAACTTTGATTATATGCAACTGATTTTTTAAACAAAATTTGAAGAACTGTAAAATATTAAATAATTTATGAATTTAATACAATTTATTAGAAAAAAACAGAAAAAATAAACCTACATAGCTTAAATTGAAATTACTCAGCTTAAATCTAGAAGAAAAAAAAGCTGCAGTTTCGTATATTTTTTTCAAGGCTTTGATTCAAATACTTTGAATACTGAAAGGATATTTTATGAAATTTCAAATAATTAATAATAAAATTTGCATTAACATACATTTTTGAATCTTTATTCAATCAGTATTTAATTTTTTTTATATATCCTTGTAAATGATAATTAAATTATCTTGTGACTAATATCATAATAATCATGATACTTAACTGAAAGTTAGGATTTGGTTATTTTTTTTTACATATCACATTGAAAAAAAAAATACAAGTCATTTGATCCGTTGTTAGATTATTTATGAAAAGAAAGATAAAAAATTTCCACAAAATTTATTGCCTGATATTCTGGCTTTAGATGTTTGTAGAATGATGGTTGTGAATTTGAACAAAAGTGTGTTGGTGTGCATAATTTTATCACATTATGTGGTACTTTATTTCACTTTTTTCAGATATTTGTGTAGTCTTTGCTATGCAATATGATTTTATTTGATTTATGTATAGTACTATCTGATGTTTTATATAAGAAATCAATCATGTTAGAAGATTCATTGTCAAACTTTAACAATTTTGTAATTCATTTGAATTTGATTTTGATGTACACTTTTTTATTGTCAAATTACTAAAATTCAACTCTAGTTTTTTTTGGTTACATTTTTCATCGCCTACTTTTCCACATTTTATCAACAAGATTTCTGATATAAAAATCTTCAATATTTTTTTGGAAATTTTATAAATATGATCAAAGCATGTTTATATAATTCATTATGACATGAATGATTATTTTTTAAATCCAATTTGTAGGATTAAGAAAATTTTGAAATCTGATTATAATTTTAACATGATTATAGGTACATATATGAAAAAACAACATAGTTCTTTGGCAGCATCTAACGTCTAAGATTTAGATTTAATGTCAAATATAATCTAGATAAAAGATTTTTTTATATTAATAAATAATAAAAACTTTGGTCAAAATTCTATTTAACATTTTGATAATTATCTCATGTCAAGATGCTTAATCTTATTTCAGTTTAAGCAGTCATGAGTTTTTAGATATCTTCTCAAGAAAAATGTACAAAATAAGAAAAGAAACTATTAATCCTAACTTCAAATCATCAAACATATAGAATATTTACAAAGAAAGAACAAGAGTTAGATTCACTTGAAGGTAATTTTCACTACCTGTTTGGATTGGTTTACTCATTAGTGTATTACTGAAGTTTTCCTCAATTTAAGACAACACAATTGGTCGCATGTGTCATATGCATGACTCGTTGTACGGGTAGTAATTTGGGAAACAACAAATTTGATGAGAGGCTAGACAGTGCAACTAGCTGACATTGATTGATAATTGATAGTTTAGTTTAACAAAATTATCAACTTGTAAGGAGAACACCTTGACAATCAGAATACTTTTTGTCAGCAGCAATCAAGTACTCAAAATTATAAAAATGAGCAAGACTGCAATGTACATGATTTGACAAGATTAATAGTATTCTACACATCTGTAGTAAATAATACATCTACATTAGTGTATTTGTATTCTGTTTGGTAGGAAACGAGTTTTTCACACCCATCTTCAACGAACTGTCTCGTTTTATAGATCTCCTTAACGTAAGTGCTTCTGATATGTGCTTGAACTTCTGCGCAAAAGACATGATGCCTGCGGATTATAAAATGTAAATGTAGTATTGTCAGAGTTGCAATGTTATCATTCAAAAATACAAAAAAAGTGATAAATAGCCGACAACTACTAATGTGTATCAGCTGTAGTTTCGTTGAAGATGGCAATCCAGGTGCAACACTGCCAATCAATTTTTTGTTTAAATGTTTCAAACCGTCTCCATCGCTATAGCCGTCAGCCGAATACCACCGAGAAACGACATGGAATAATTTTTCACGTGTATCATCGACAAAGGAAACGAAATGGAGAAATGTCACGTGTTTTCAGAACTTCCAATCTTCAGATTCTTATACTATCTTATGATATTTAGTCGAGATAGAGAGAAAGAGGAAAGAAGGAAAAAAAAACTCCAGATTCTTATCCTCTCTTATGATATTTAGTAGAGAGAGAGAGAGAGAAAAGAAGGAAAAAGAACAATCTCCAGATTCTTATCCTCTCTTATGATTTTTAGTCGCGAGAGAGAAGAGATAGAGAGAGAGAGAAGGAAAAAAAACAAATCACGCATAGCACAACAAAATTTTGTCTTCTCAGGGATTAAAACGGGTGAGCACTGGGAAACAAATGTCTCGAGAAGCCATCATAGACCGAGTCCCACAACGAGTCGGCTGATGAACCTTCCCGATTTGGTACTAGTACTGCTAATGCTAAGGAATGGTAAACGAAATGAATGAATGAATAATTTCAGGCGTTGCGTTGGGTCGAGGGGCGGACCCACCCGCCGAGTCGTTCATCGACTTTTGACGTGTGTTAGAGACCACTGTAGTAGCGGTTAGTTAGTCCAATGGACGAACCATCTTTTCCCGAACGGATTGGTCCCAGGGAGTGAGACAAGCTCGGTCTTAGCCTCGTCGTCGTGTCAAGTCTTTCCTCCCGATCCCTGCCCTGCCCTGCCAGAGGGTTCCCTTGCCTCGCTCTTGTCGTATGCTCCACCTCTTTGCTCCAATTTCCAGTCCACCTTCGGACTCTCCTTCATGCTCTCCTGCCGTTCTACCATCGCTTCGTCCTTGAGAGGTTTGGACTTATTAGCCCTCCTGCTTATTGTTCTACCCAACGCTGCTGCTGTTGTTGCCTGCCTGATTCACACTGTGCTGTGGTGGACAGGTATGTCACTCGGATGGTAGGTTGGATTTCACCTTGTTTAGCGGTGGGTTTTGTCTTCCCTGATCGTTTCATCCACACATACGATGCGCAGCCAGTGCTCTACCAGCGGTGGTGAGTTCCAGCAGATATGACGCTGCTGCTGCTGCTGCTGCGAGTTGATTGTTGAGAATGGTGCGGCTAGATTGGACAAAGGGCTAGTTGAGTTGCCAACAAGGGGCTGTTTCTTCTTCATTCGTCTCCCCAGATTGGGGAACTGGACGACAGACTATGCTTCTCGTTTTGGTTTCCAAGTCCGTGTCGGGATCGCTGGGTGGCAATATCCACGGGGAGAAAACTCCCATTAGGTGAGAAAGTTTGGTGGATAGAGGGCGAGCTTCTGCTGGACGTTTCGCAGACAGACTCCAGTTTCGGTCTCGGAATGGTCGGAGTCGACCACTGTAGAGATGGCTGATGCTGCCTCCGTTCGGTTGGATCTAGTACGATAGATCTGGACATCTGTCTTCGATGCCCGTGTGACGGCTTGTGGTCCATGCGGCAAGGAATATGCTGCGTCCAACAGAGTCGAGTCTAACAGCGACTTGAAGCTCGCTCGTATATCCGCCATGGTCACCACACCACACTCACTCCAACAGTTGTCAACTGGCCCATCGCCACCCTTCATTTCGGGGTGCGTTTCCAGGGGTCTGCGGAATTTTGGATAGGATTACTGCGGCTCTTCGCCTAGATGCTGAAGGTGAGGCTCGAGATAAAGCTCGGTACCGCCGGAGTGGTTCTCTCAGACATCTAGTCACGAAGGGGTCAAGTCTTTTCGTAATGAGCTGGTATTGAATTAGATTCTCCTCCAGACCGACCGAAATGGTCTTTCCCATCGTCGCCCTCGGGAGCACAACTCGTTCCGAGTCAAGAATAATGAGAATTTCATGATTCGGTGTGGACCATTCGTTCATTCGCGTGTTTGATCTTCTGTTTTTCGCAGGGCCGGCAGACTCGCATGCCTGCCACCTGTTATCGATCCTGAGATTTAAAGAGAATGGCGCGTCCTGAATGAGAGGTTGAATGCATGCATGAAGTGGGTGCTGCTCACATCACGGTGGACTCCGATGAGACTTTTGGACAGTATGATTTCATTGACAAGCAGTTTGTTCGACAAAATGATTTACAAGTTAGGTTTGCCACTGGCATTGTTTTCAGTCCCTCTAGCTGCACCGCCTCTCCGTGATACATGTACATCGGCATACGTACGCCTCGCTGGTGCAAATAAGTTGAAGAACTTGATGATGATGATGATGTATACTTTACACAAGATGCCGCCATCTTTTGTTCGTGGACACGAGCAGGCTCGGCAGGGGAGCAGCTGCAACCCCACATCCACTCCCACTCCACTCCTCCGCTCCGCTCCGCTCCGTTGTGCAGTAGACTCCAACAACACGAATACCGAACGAACCCCGTGGAAAAGTTCATCAACTCGAGGACACGCAAACCATGGCCGGCGAGAGTCCACTCTCAAGGCCAGCTCGTGAACTCGAACACTTTCCCCACGATTTCCAAGCCCGTCGGAACTTGCCACAAGAAGAGAACGACGTTGAGGGCGTTCAGACCGATGTGCAAGCTGCGAGCCCTTTCGTCGCCCTTTTGCATTGCGGGGACCAGTGCGGCAGCCAAGGCCCACAGAACGGTGATGCCTGACCATGGTTTCAGCCCAACAGAAAGAAAAAACGTCAGGGTGATACTACACATGGGCAATCGAGCCAATCTCCCCGACTATTCTGAGAGATTGCACGTGATTCTCATTTTCTTCGAATTCACATCACAAACCGTGGACAGACATGAACGAGCGACTGCTATTCGTTACAACAAATGTCCCTGGCCGGTCCTCTCGCATGTTTTTCTGGGACTGTTTCCATGGACTTTGGGTTCAGAAGGGCTGTGGTCTTACCTGCGCCTGCAAACAGGTGAGGTCCTGGAAAGAGCTTTCCTGTACGCGCATATGTATTCAAGCACCCTCCAACTGACGTGAGCACACCCCCTCCGAGCAAGATCGAACCGGCATTGAAGTGCTTGTCTTTGAAGTTACCTTTCACAAGCTCCTTCCTTTCCTGCAGTTGGTCAGACGAGGCACAACAGACCACGTCGCAAAAGTCAAGAGGAGAGAATTGGACAGAAAGGTTTTCCGTGACAAGGGACCCCCACCACGTTTGCCCCACACCATAGATCCAGCTGATTACACGAGAAACGTGGGAGAAGACTGGACCTCCGGTAGGGCAGACTTAGTGGCGACGCAGAGCTTGAATACCTAGAAGCTAGAGGACGGATATTACAAGCTGCCAAATACAACCATCAGTAACAATCCGGAGAGCATGGCACTCTGAGCTCGTCCTTCCTACAATCTCCACGTTCTTCTGTGGTCCGAGAGAGTGTGAACAGCGAAACAAGTTCTGCAAAAATCGGAGAAAGCTCCGAGAGCAGCTGAGACCACAACCTCGGTGAGTTTGGTGATCTCAGATTCCAAAGGGGAGGGAGGTGACGGAGTTGCGGACTTCTCTCCTGCTGCGACTGCGACAGGTTTGACTTGCTTCTTCAGTTCACTGATCTCGGTTTGGATGGTTCTCACACGTCTCCACTGCCAGCCAAGGTATCCTGCATAGAGTGTGAAAGCTAACAGGCTGCCCATGACCAAAGGGTGCAAGAGTGCGAAAGACCGCCCCTCCAATATTCCCAATTCTCCTTCCACAGCATTCGCATCCTGCACCCCAAAAAAGTCCATAAGCATAAGCAAGAGGTAAGTCTCGTTTCATAATTGACTGGCGCACGTTTGATGGCAGGCAATGTGCAACAGAAGTCGCGGAAAACTCTCATCCTGTTTCTTCTATGGACATGACACTATGTCACGACTGAATAGATGTACGAAGAGTATTTCAGTATTCATATATACACACGCAAAGGAGGGACTATAGAATGGATATCATGTAGCTGAAATGTGGAAACGAGAATTCGGAATTTGACCAAAAGTTCAACCCCAATTTGCTTCTGGACACGTGCTTCCATTCACAACAGCTTCGCGGATTTCAGGCAATCCAAAACGGCCGATGCCAGGGAGGTCATCCCGAAGCTGATTTCTCGCCGGGGCAGCAGGAGTGCCATGTTTGTTCAGCCTTGGACACGTGCAGAGTCCTTTCGACTATTTCACTTCCTACGAGGCTACAAACGGAAGCATGGCTTTCGCTGGGATATGTCTGATTTACCACTAGACATTTGTTTGTAAAGGCTCCAGAACAGGGTTCAGCTATCAGTGAAAATACTATTTGTATCAAATGAAAGCATGATTGCAAACACCCGACGCCAGAACAGCGGTCGTTCATGAGGTTTGAACGAAAGAAACTCGGATTCGACAAGGTCTTGATAGCCCTCCCGTTCAACATTCGGGTTTTCTCAGCAAATCCCGACAAAAGCATGATATCGTTGTTCAGGAGGAAGGCAAATGCGAAAGCAAGGACGACCCACACGCAGCCTTGAAATACTTCCAACGAGTAGAACCGCACTGATAGGAGCAATTGAACTGGGAGTTTGATGTCGAGAGCACAGTGTAGCTCGACATCAAATTCTGGTCAGGCTTAAATAAGAATGACAACCCCCGAATGCGGAAGAACCGTGTCACAACATGCCGAATTCCGTGCTGCAGAGAGCGCCAAACGCCCCGCATTATGCACCAGGCTTCGGTCCAAAGGCACCTCGCTGATGCAAAATTACGGTGTACGATTTCTCGATCGGTAATTATTCGCAAAAACCAAACGGCTTAGAATTGAAGTGCGTTGCTCTGTATTCGAAAGAGAGGAGGGAGAGAGTTTATGCACTTCATGAAGACCATAAGACTCCAGAATAGCACCAGACGAAAGAACATGTTCAATCTAAAACGCCCACAGGATGATAATTTCTCCACAACTATCACATCCCTCATCAATTACGTTCATTGGCAGATAGCTTCCAGAAACGTTCACATTATCCCCACATTAACCTCCACTACTTCTTGAATTATCAGAACAGCCATGAGTTGGGCAACCACTGTCTCCCTCGATGAGTTCGACATGAGCTCCACACAAAATCAGGCCGTTTCACCGGAGTTCTCAGAAGAGGTCCAGACGACAATTAAACACTAGTGCAGAGTACTAGAGTACGCTCGGCACGACGCTTCAATTCCAGCTCGAAGCTAGCAGTGAATGGCCATGGGCCATGGCCAAGATTTCAATAAGCACTCTGTCTGTCTTTCATGGTAAATTCCAGGTCGGACTGACTGCCGAATTTATTCTTCTTATTGGGCAACTCCACATCGTCCATTATCAGAAATCGAAAAGGGAAGAGACCTCGGGCACGCCAGCGTACCTGAATACCGAGCAGGAGTGGAGACAGGGCAATTCCGGCGCTGAGCCATGCGTTCTCGAGCCCACTGCCGCTTCCCAGGCTGGTGAGGCTCTCCCCGACGACCTCAGCCTCGGTCGCCACTACGGCTCCCGATCGCTCCTCCTCGACCGAAGCGGCGCGAGCAATCAATTGGCGACTGCGCACCCGCATGCCCTCCGTGCCGAAACAAATTGCCGGCAGGCCGATGGCCGCGGAGCTCTTGCTGCAGCTGCGCAAGCTTGAGCGCGTGGCCTGCGAAGCCAAGGACGCCGGCGACGACGACAAGCCCGTCAAGCTGCCCATGGCAGCCATCACCGCCATAGCTGACTACCTCGAAAGCTTCACTCGCTCACTCTTCGAGCTCGAGCTCGACTGCTGTCTGTCTGAGCGTCAGCCTCGCGCACTCTCTCCACGCACTCAATTGCGCAATCACTCGCGAAAATTCGGCCTTCGCTATGTCTCGCGTGGACTGTAGGGCGATGCGGCTCGGGCCTTTCACACGCCGTGCACACGCCCGGCCCGGCTGGCCTCCGCGTCTCCGTGGAGCGTGACGGACCGGTGCCTGCTTCGGACTGCTTCGGACTGCACACTTGCCCAGCCATGCACATCGCGACGTGGCCGACGCCCGAGCACCTGTTTCAAGGTTCGCAATGACCTTCGCTATCCGCGCTGGCTGACCCCCCGGTCGCATGTACGCGAGCACCTGTGACCTGCGCCATCCTCCGTGGCTTGGCTTCCCCGGTTGACACCACGCTCTCGCCTGTTAGAAAGTTACCTATCACCTGCGCTATCCACTCTAGGCTGGCTTCACCCGTTAACACCATATTCGCATATATCTATAGGACTCCTTCCTCCGTGTATGTTAAATTAAGCATTATTATAGGATGTTATATCTTAGTATAAACACTATATCGTCATACATACATCATGTTTGAAAAAGATTGTAAACATTCGCCAGTCTTGTTTTTTATTAAATATATTTATTTTCTAATTTAATTAGATAAATAACCTCCAAAATTTGTAATTATTTTTGATTCAGCAGAAGAATATAAATTTAATTTTAGAAAAACAATCTATTTATTTTTTTTCTATTTTCGAATTTTTTATTTAGCTATATCAATCTTCTGATATATAAATTGATTTTTTATTAAAATGTCTAATTTAGCATAAGAATAATATTAAATTATACATATCAATTTTTATATATTTATGATAAATTAAACCAATACATACACAAATTGAAAAAATGTCAAAGTCTTTAATGTGTTGCAAATTATGTTTTAATCTTTAATTTTTTATTTTCGAAAATAGAGTTTTGATTATATATGATGATTATTTATATGCCCATAATGTGTATAGGTTAAGTAATTACACTACCATATATCCTGGAAAAGTGATCCACTTTTTTGAACTTTATGATATTGTTCAACATTAGTTATATTTTGTACATTAAATGATATATATAATCGATTTTTTTAATTTATGAAATACCTATTATATAAACCATGAAAATTTAAAAATCAATATTAATGAAATTTTAAATTACTTTTAAAATGTGAAATAAATATATTTTATACTTAAATAAAATAATTCAAATATGTTATAAAATGATGTTGGTGAAATACATCAGTATGTACCCCTTGTGCTATTCTGCATTACTGCATTTCTTCGCAGTAATGCAGGATCTCAATATTAATATCCCATAGCATGAAGACGTACAAAAGTACAAAAAGCATTTCAACCAGTAGAATACTTACAATATGAAGTCATGGCAAATCCCACATCATACAATCTTAAAATTTGTGAGATCAGACCACAATAAAAAAAAGTGAAAGTACTGTTTTGTTAGTAAATTGACTCCAATTGTATCCAAATTCAACTTTACTTGTAAATAGGCGTGAAATACTTTGTACAATCTTATTTGACATTTAATTCATAAGATTTCACTTTTTGTTGTTTTTTTACAAGTTTGAGGAGTGAAGACTATTTTTTCTTCTTCTTCGTAACATATTTTTGTTTAAAGTCATTTCAGTTCTATTGTCATGTATCTATTGTGTAAACTAATGTTTAAAATATTATAAAAATTAAAAAAATTTACAAAGATTGTAAAATTTTAAATTTTAAAATATTTGTTCATTGAGATGAGTGTAAATCTAAAAATTATAGAATAATTAAATTTATGAAATTTAGATTTATAATATATGTATAAATCATATAATATGATTAAATTTTTTATCAATTAAATTTCTTTTAAAAAATAAAAAAAATAAAAAAGGCATTTACAAATTACATATTTATTATTTTAATAAAATATTAAACAAAAATATACTATTAATAATAAATCTAAAATGAAAATAGAAGATTTAGCGAAGAAATAAAAGAAAAAATTAAACTTCTTAAATACCAAATATGTGTTGTACTTTGACTTGTGTTCACAACTTTGTTTTCTTGAAATTTGATACAAAAAATTCTATCTCTAATCTCAACTTTTTGAATCACTTGGTATTTACAATTGATATTGTGTGAACTTGTTTTAATAAATTTGAATCATATGTAACATGCTCTAACATGTTATATAACTTGCACCTTCCATTCAAGTTGCTTTAAAATTGCTTTACCAAGTTGTTAAATGAGTACCATTTCCTTGGTGTTGAATGTACATTGACTTTTTTGAAATATTTATTGATTTGTGAATCAAATTAAGCATACTTTTTTTAAATAAAATATTAAAATATTAAGAGTTTAAAAATTACAAAACATAAGTATTTTTGAATTTTTTTAAATAATTTAAATTATATATATATATATATATTTTGTGAAATAAAATAAAATAAATTAGAGAATAAATACAGACTTGATTCATATTATCAAATGATGGGAAATTGCATTTCATTAGCCAAAATACCCATAGGCGCGTGGGTACATAATATTGAAAGGAACCCATGTCAAAGCGCAAAGTTGACTTGAGCTTGAGGAAACTTTGCTTAAATAATTCAAAAAATTTGAGAATACACCACAATGTATTGTGAGGTTAACTTTGGGTGTTGACAAACTAATGTAAAGTCTTTAAATTTTTTTTCAAATTATAAATATATTTAATAAAAAAATAAAATTAATTTAAAAAAAATAATTCATTTAAAATTCTAAGCATAAAATTTTACTTCATTGACATAAAATTCATCAAAAGATAAAATAACTATATTTGTTAAAATTGAAAAAATTATTAAAATGTTTTTGTTTTTTATATGATGTAATATGTAATAATGTTTGTTTCAATAATGTATATTGTGATATAGTGCATGATTGCGAGATAAAAAATTATTAAAAATCCTCTTAATCATATGAATAGGTGAATATATATAATTTTCAAATTAAAATAATAATAACCATGTTTCAAAATTAAATTTAATGATAATTTTAATAGCTTGCAATACAGATGTATGTTTTTGTTGCTCCAATAAATGAGAAATTAGATTTCTAATTTGTAACAGATACTATTATATTTTATTTTTATAAATATAATGCTTCAACTATTTGTCATGCTTTATAAATATGATTTTATTGAAATATAATTGTATGAAAGATAATACGAAGAAAACATATTATTTATTAAAAAAAAATATAATTTAATTTCAAATTTTATAACAATAAATGTGAAAATTTAATTTAAGAAAAATCAAAACAAATGAGATCTGATGATTTCAATTTGCATTTAATAAAAAATCATAACATACATATCATTTATTAAATTACTATATATGCAAATGAAATATAAGTTTTTTTGTCAAATCAACAAATTTTGTACGCAAATTTTTTGTTGAAACTTCAAAATCATAATCATTAAATATGTTTTAAAAGTGGGAAAAAATATTTGTGGACATCAATTGATAGAAGTTTTTTAACTTATTAAAAAATAATGTATTGGTTTATCTATCTTTACTTAAAAAGAAAATAAAGTAGAGATATATACTGAACTTAATTTAAATTTTTTATTTAAAATAATTAATACATTTTTTTACATATTTGTGATAATCAAAATCCAAAAAATGAAAAATAAATATTTAAGTTCACAATTGATGGAAAGGGCCTAGAGGTGTGATTCAAATCTGCAGTGATTTGAATCACACCTCTATGCCATTTCCATCAACTGTGAACTGCCAGGAACTGCCGTGATTCCATCAAGAAATGTGATCGATCGGGAGGAGTAAGCGAGGGTTGGACTCAGCCCGGACTGATCTGCCGCAGGAATGACGAAAAAACAAAAGATTCAGGGTTTTATATTGTCTTGGCCAGACATTTGTCAAAGTTTTAAATGTATTGCAAAGATTATTTGAATCTTTGTTTTCTACTTTGTATAATCAATTATAGGTACATATATGATGACTGCTTTTATCTTCATGTTGTTTGTAGAAAAATTATTAAATATTTTATAATTGTATAATATAAATTCTAACTTGATGCTTTTATATTTTGTTAATATAAGGTTTTATTTTTTATTAATTGATATATGTTTGTTATTTTTTATTATCATATAACGTTTGCAATTTTTTATCTATATTAATAAAAATTTAAATTTATTAAAATTTATGAAATAACAGTATGAATAAATAAAATTATTGAAATGTTTATAAAAATTGTATAAATTTTTTTTGTTTTTTTTTTATATTTTTTCAAGGCAATATGAACACATTTTTTTAATAAAATATATAATTTTTTATTGAATTGAGAAAAAAAATTTAGAACATCAAAGTAATATTTATTTTACCTTAAATGTAAAAAATAAAATTTCAATATTTATTAAAAATTAATTAACATTTTCATTTTTATTGGAATTTGAGGTATTAATCATTACAAATATTTTAATATATTACATTGATGACAAGAATTTTGTAATCATCAATTTTTATAATATAATTTTTTAAATAAATAATAAAATTGATATTAAATAATAATTTATACTCTATAAAAACTAAATGATTTAAATAAAATAGAATTTTTTAATATGTTGAAATTCTTTAGTACATCTTAATATTTTAAATGTAGAAAATTATATAAATATTATTTTCTAATATTTTGTAAATATAATTTGTATAAAAATTTAAAAAATGTTATTTAAAATTTTTTTGTGTGGATATTATACCACAAGTACGATATAACTAAAATCACACGTCATTGTAACCGATGAATGTTCACATTAGATTATATCCAAAACCAAAGTAAAAGTTTCATTGAAGAGAGAATATTACATAAGACCTAGATAGCCAAGCTCTTGACCATACATTTCCCCATTGGATGTACATTTGAGCCTTAACTTAAAACTGCTCATCTTAAGATTAATAATCACTAATGCCAATTGATATAGCAGCCTAAATACACACTACACTAATAAGAGATTAAGCCTAACTAGGTATAACAAGATGGCGACTACTTGCGTTCAAGTGGTCCTGCACCA